TAATAATAATAATAATAATAATAAACCAGACTATGTAACTCCTGATCTCGATTACTCTCTTAGCCTTACATGTACGTTGCCTCTGTTTGGCTCGCTGGAAGTATAAACAACAGACATGTAACCATGCAATGGCACCTGCCAACATGTACGGTACCATCCCAAAAACAAAAGCTTTGCAAAATTACTATTTAGATTCTAATAGTAGAGGAACAGACAATGCATAAGTGAATAAAGTAGATAAAATTAACTAAATGTTGATGGAACAGGAATATTCTTCAACCCATTGACAGATCTCTGGCCCCTTCAAATTTAGGATTTATTATAAAACTATGTGACCCCTCGGAGGCCGCTGCCTACACACAGGACAACAGAAACAGAAAAGACAAGATTATACGGGATGATTCTAAATTACTGTTGGGGTCTTCATGGCCTATAAATAAAACTGCTCATGGAATATGAAAATATAACTCAAACAGCTTCATCTGATACCGCTGTACTCACCTCATTTTATATATGGGAGGAAATATGACGTCATACCTCAAAATGGCGACTGTTCAAGTGAAAGAAACTGCGTACTTTGGTTTTTCGAAACACAGTCCGTTTTCAAAATATAACGTCCTTGCAGAACTCAATATGGAAAAGATCCACCTTCAAATAATGCTATTAGCTTCGGAGATGGGTATTCAGGAATAAAAGCAACGTTTTACATAACAGAGAAGACAAATCGTCATAACTGCTGAATATGGGGATCAGAAAATCCTCACGCCATTCCAGAAATCGGAAGAGATAGTACGAAGGTGAATATCTGGTATGCTTCGTCATGTTCAGAAATTTTGGGGCCATTTTCCTACAAGTAATAACATTTTTTAATTACATTTTCATATTCCTCAAGCAGTTTTATTCTTTTTTTGGTTTCCGGTTAGAAAATTATATATTATTATTATTATTATTACTACACATATGTTGTGTCGACGGAACTCCCCACAACTTTCAAGTAGCGTATATACGTGTATGCATGAATGAGGTCACCGTATGAAGCACGTTGAGGATTATTGCTCTGGGTTTGGTGAAATTGTTAGGATGTAAGATTGTACTGTCTCTACGGTACTTACAGTTTTGCTATTTCCGACCCGTTGAAGGCCCAACCATCCACGGATTTTATGTCATTGTAGTTCAGGATGCTACAACAGAGATAAAAAACCAGCTACATAATTAAGGTCACTGTATCAGCTGGAGGTGTCTTGTAGCTCAGAACGAAACTGATGTACAAGGAAAAAGTGTACAGGAACTACACTAACATATGAGAACAGTGTTTAATAGTAGGTGGTGGTCCATGGACGAAAAATGGGACATGGCTTAATTGAAGACGGTTCACAACTTTCAGTTATCATTACACAGGGATTTCATTATATGATGCTGCCAGGCTACCACCGTAAGCCAGTCACGAGTTTACTTTAAGTAGTCTTGGACAGCTCGCTTTCTACGTATATTCGCAGCGTCATAAATGGAAAAACTCTATATATATTTTTCACTAAATGCGAAAAATTTATACGGTACACCTATATAATTTTTAGTATTTTGTTTTTACCAAACAACTACGCTGAAATGATAATGCTTGTGACTTGTAATCGGGAGGTACCAGGCTCGAAACTCCGCTGGGACACCGGATATCCCGAATAAGTTTCCTCGTAATTTTACTCGTCCCCTCCATGTAAATTATGGGACAGTATCTTAAATTTTTGTCACAGCCGTTTCCTTTCATATTCCTTCTAATTTATTATTCATCGTCATATATTCTTAGACGTTAGTGAGCACAGGCTAGCCTGCTGACCGGAGCGTACGAGAAATTACAAATCAGTAGAATACAAAAAGAAATTCTTCTTCTGTGAAAAAGGTGAAGCTATCGCTGTAACAGGCCATGAAGACACATAGAGTTGTGAGACGTCGGGTCATTTTCTAGATAATCGAATCACAGATGGCGGTGAAGTTGTCAGCCTTACTCTCCGACCACCTTTTATCCACCAGGAAGATTCCTGGTAATAATTTCTGTTAGAGGCTGAGTCGACCCCAGGGCCATAGCACGGCTGGAAGGATTAGTTCAACTGAACAGTCCAATAACCTCTTCGGGAAACTAACCTTCGACCTTTGGGCTTATAGCATACCGCCTCAACCAACTGCGCTACAGCGTTGTTGTCTCCTCCACACGAATCATTACACCGTCCTCACTTATTTATAATTCAAGCAGGATGCTGTCGGTAGCTCAGGTTCCATAGTGTCGAAGGGTATAATTAATGATTGTTGTACTGGAAGGGATATGGGTAGAAATGGCTACTGTCTGTAGGAGCTGAAGAAATCAACAAGAAACTGCAGTCCGGACAGTCAGTGTCCTTGCCGATATTCGAATTAGGTACCTCAGAAGCGTCACCGCTTTGTAGGCAATGTCATTCCTTTCGGTTTATTGCAACATAAAGGCTACTGCGCAACACGCAAGCAATAATCTAATATGCAGATCATCAATGCTACTCTTCAGTGACTGGCCCAGTAAGTGGTGTCCTCTGGTGCTGTTTTATCGATCCGTCGCCGAGGAAGGCTGAGAGCCTCTGTACTGGAAGATAGCCTGCAGATAAACTTGAATAATCGAAAACAACCTTACATTTCGTTATAAATATCTCTTTGTGGCCGACATTCAAACCACGTATATCCATACACAGAAGAGAAGTTGAGCGTAGCGTAGTTGGTGGTTGAGGCACTATGCTACAAGCCGGAAGGTCGCGGTTTCGATTCTCGATAAAGTCATTGGATTTTTATTTGATCTATTCCTTCAAGCCGAACCGTGGCACTGGGATCGACTTAGCCTTTAGCTGAAATGAGTATCAGGAATTGTCGTGAGTGTCAAGGGTGGGCGATCGGCGCGTAGGGCTGGCAACCTCATCGCCATCTGTGAGCCGACTGTCTACAAATGTGGGAGCCTCGTCGTCTCATAAAATTATGGGCTTCCATTACCTTTTATAACATAGAAACCCGATATTCAGAGGTCAAGGTACCGGGGAAAACAAAAGGGTATGGTCAAACGCACAACTGAAGAGGGGGCAGGTCTCTTTCAGCGAATATGGAGGAGGATGGAACAATAATTTCTATGAATTATCCAAGAAATGTAATGCAATTTAATACGCATGTTTTCATACGCCTTTATACAGGGGCCGTGTCGTAGCTCAGGTGCTCAGGGACTGTCTTCTCATCGCTGAGACGCGCCTTCAGTCACGGGTGACGTTTCGCAGTGGACCAGTGGCAACGGTGCAGATTCATCTTCCGGCTTCTTCGGTCTTCACCTTCTTGTGACTCCACCAGCACCGCCCATTCAGGTGTGCGAGAGCCCTCACCACGAAGCACACTATCACATCCTCGGTTCTTAAAGCGGGGCTTTCATGTGTAACCCGGCACTAGGGTGTGCTCACGGTAAAGAAAGTCAAGAATCCAGATCACCATGGCGATCGGGGGTTCAGATAGTCTGGGTTCCTATTCCAAAGAAGGGAATAAAGTACAGCTTTAACTACAATTGCTCCGATCAAAAAGCAGGAAACTTTCCCGTTATTGAATAAAATACTTCCAGACATTCTGAAGCTCACAGAATGGAAATACTTACTGCATCTAAATAAGGTAAAGCTATCCCTGTAACATAGGGTTGTGACACGTCGAGGCTGCTACATTTTCTAGACAATCGGCTCACGAAAGGGGGTTAGGTTGTTAGCCTTATG